TGCATGAAGTAATATGTGCTCAGTAATATGTGTAGCTTAATGTTTTTGAGCAAACATTTTTCTCATCAAAATGTTTTGATTAGGGCTACACGATATTGGAAAATCTGACATATTTTGTTTTGCTGCTATATATGATATGAATATAATTTCACCAGATGATTTGAATACATTGAAAGATTTCATTCATTTAGATTGACTGGAATGGACTTTTTCTATGTGCATTTGGAGCAATTATAATAAATTACTAGCAAAGTTCAATTCATCTTAATTTCTTTAGCGTTTTTACAATGTAGATTGTGTTAAAGCAGCTTAACATAGAAGTTCTAGTAAAATGAAACTGTGTCAGTTCAGTTTTCAGAGTCGAAGTTCAGTTTAGTTCAGTCCAGTGTGGTTTAATTGTCATTGCTTAAAGTCTAAACACTGAAGAGCAAATCCATTGATGCGCAACTTCACAAGTCCCAAAACCAAGCAAGCCAGTGGAGCCATTGGAGAGGAGCAAACTTCACCAATTGACGAAAATGGTGGAAACATACCCCAGAGAGAAACCAAAGTAAATAGATAAGCAGTGCTTTATGGCAGTAGTTTTCAAATATTTAATCAACACGGACAGGTCAACGCTTGACAATTTTACCATGGCCCAGCGGGAGGGAGTGTCAGAGTGTGTACGTAGATTGCTAGGCGACCATCAAGCATTTTTTCAGAGGATGACAATCCGACAAAACATTGCTGCATCTCTGATACAAGGTTTATTTATGGAGAAATCTGAGGTCTTATCTGTCTGAGAAAAGAAGTCTACCAAAACGTGTATATTGCATAGAAAATATAAAGTTGATTGGTCAGTTCTCGTCACGTAACTTGAGGTGCACTCACAGCATTCTGAAGATGTTTTTAAATGGGTGGAGAAGGGTATAAACAGGGGTCAGAGCCAGCTCCAAGTGGGTGGGCCTTTGAGCTCCAAGTGGGCTGTACAAACCTGGAGTTTTTTATTTATTTAATGTCCTGTTCATGACACAGAGTCCAATATTGTGCTTTATGAATGTCAACAGCTACCCTGAACCTACACCCAACCCCACAGTAACCTGTAGTGTTTAATTAAGGCCTACACCTACCCCAAACCTTAACCCAAACCTGCTGGGATTTATTAATATCTGCTCCACCTACACCAACTAATGCCAACCTACTTGTAAGTCCCTTCCACTTGGAGGTCCTCCAACCTACTTCTGGTGTCTCCGGGCTGCAGTGATATCTACTTGAATGGGTGTGCCTGGAAGGCTCAAGCGTGTTGCACCGCTTGCACATATCGCTCCCAATATGCGGTTGCCTCAACTGGAAATAACAAACTTGTGCGTGGAAAAAATGCAATATGTGAATGTCCGGCGTCATTTGCAATATCCAGCAGTTGATATTCTTGCACTGACATGTTGGATTCACCTGATTTTTGACAAATGGGTTGCGGATGCATTCCTTTGCAGTTCGTGGGTCCTTCACTGGACCTTTTCCCCTTCGCAAAGAAATTTTCCACAGACGTCTGTTTCTTACTCATTTTGTTGCTTGTGGGTTAAATTTTGGAGACCGAGATGTAACCGAGAGAATACGGTCATTGTTTAAAATAAAACATTGTATAGACTCGGATAATAAATAAAGCTGAAATTATTAATGATTTCTTGTGCGGCCCTGTACCAATTGACCCACAGATTGGTACCAGTCTGTGGCCCGGAGGTTGGGGACCACTGCTTTATGGTTTTCCGGGGAGTCTAAATATGCTTTAACAGCTGTAGATTATTGTTTGTTCTGTTCCACGGTTTATTTTTCTGAGTCCCGCTTAGCTGTTATGCGTCCTTATTTTGATTAATGACGATAAGCGAAAAGCTGTGCTTTTATTTTGAATGGTGACACCCACAGACATCGTCACCAAATATAAATGCAGACTTTCTCATACAAAGCCATTAGCTAGAATTATGCATTATAGGCTTTACAACAAGGGTGAGGTGTCCAAACTCAGTTCTGAAGGGCTGGTATCCTGCATAGTTTAGCTCCAACTTTCTTCAACACACCTTCCTGGCAGTTTTTGTATACCTAGTAAGAACTTAAATAGCTGGCTCAGGTGTGTTTAATTGGGGTTGGAACTAAAATATGCAGGACACCAGCCTCCATGACCGAGTTTGGGCACGCCTGCTTTACAATATAGAGAGAAATAACAGATAAACCAAGACTGCAGTTCGGTCAATTTTTAAAAGATAAACAGCTCTCTTTAATAGTTCAGCATGCTTTCACTTTCGTATTCGACATGAAACACACATTAACCAGTATGCCTATTACATATCTTTAATATGTTGTGATATAGCCTGGTTCCTTAGTTCATTGGATTGTATTGCTTTCTCAGTACAATCGTTCCGCTCCAGAGTTTGTTTCAATCGAGCTGAGACCACCTCATTCAGATGATCTCTGACCGATTGTTTAGGTGCAGATCTGACCGCGATTGCTGGATTCACATACGCCAAACGAACTGTGCTAACAGGGGAAATGCACTAGGTTCCGAAACAAAAGCCCCCTTTACACATACAGACCTTTCCGGAAAATTACTTTTTGAAAATACAGTAGTTTGGGCAATTTTCCGAAAAGAGAAGTTTTAAGATTACCCGTAATTTGCCGGAATGCTGCTCTTTGTAAATGCTGAAGGAAGAATGCTGGAAAGGGTGTGTTCTCGATCATAACGCACTGACGAGAGATGTCTACTCCAGCCAATCAGAACCTTCAGACACATTCCCATCTGTGCTGTTTATAAAAATAAAAGCCTTTGAATATTTTTCCAGACACATTTAGCTGCTAGATGTTAGTCAGATAATGTTTCTATGTTCCTTCTTAATGCCAACTGTGTCAAAAATTATCGATAAAATGCTTATGATAAGCCGCTGTTTGTTTATCTTCAAGCTCTGCTTCCTTCAGTTGCTTTGATGCATCGCGTATGCACATAAAGCAGCTGGTGAGCACCAGCACACACACGTATTATGTACATCTCGACATGCAAAATTGTTCCTTTATATGTTTTCATCGAAGTTGTTCACAATACTGATCCATCCACAGAGTTGATTGAGTAATGCAGTTGAATGTGTACAAATAAAATATCAGCCGTTTAGTTTATAGCCGTTTAGTAATTGTTTCTAGTTAATGATGTCAGAATTTACCGGTATTTTGGAATGGATGTGTGAACGGTCTTTTACAGAAAAAATCTGTAAAGTCCTTGCCTGTGTTAACAGCGCTTTTGATTTTACCTCTAAAGTTGATCCAGAAATTTTCCAGATATTTACCGGTATCACTGTGTGAAAGGGCCTAATGTCTAGGTGTGAAAGCATCCAAAAAGTTAAAAAATGTAACAATCTGTGAGAAAAGAAGGAATTTATTTTTATTTCTTTTGTGTCTTTATTTTTAATTAGAAAAATGTTTAGACTAACAACAGATTAATCAGTCTTTTTCTTTTGTATGATACCACATATAGACCAGACATCCTTCTTCTTTTTTACTATGCTGCATACTTTTCAGAAGAAAATGCTGACAAGATGGAAATACACTGAAAAAAAATTATTCAGAGATGATTCCTTGGATTTACTCAATTTTTTTTACGTTAATTGGCTGTAAACAATTTATTTGTGTTGAATGTAAACAAACAAATTAAGTTGAACATTATTAAACTTAATTTGCTTGTTTAAATTCAACACAAATAAATAGTTTGCAACAGTTCTGCATGCAACACTTTTTTCAGTGTAGCATAATAAGAATAAATTTAGGGTGGCGGCCTTTGTTCTAGACTGCAGTCTAGACAGTCATGTCACAAGTTGTCATGATGCTTGTAGAAGTTGTAAAATATATTAAAGATGCACGTAATTGTTTAGTTCTGGTATGCAGAGAAGGGTTGCAGAAAGAGGAAGTATGTCTGGGGTAGAAGAGCCATAGGACTGCAGAATGACTGAAAAGTGCCGTTACACCAAACTCCACCTGTTAAAAATCAGTTGTGTATAAATGCTGGAGTCAGGAAATGTATGTTAATTGCGAACCTCTTGAATGTAATTCTTGTGTTGCATTGGGGTAAAGTAACCCAGAGCTCTGGCATCGAATTATTCATTTGTATCTAATAAATTACCAATATTTTTGGTATTGAAGAAAACCCTTTCCTGACCTTTTCTTATTGAACACGCACGGAATTGGCTTGAAATTACAACAAATCTAATGTAAAATACCATGATGCTTATTATTGTTAAATAGCTTAAAAATATGTTTAATAATAGCATTATCTTTTAATATCTGCAATATGACTATACATAAAGGCTGATTTATACTTCTGCGTCACGGCGCTGACGCATAGCTCTTCGCCGTGGCCGTCGGCGTCGCTGACGTGCACCTCTCAAAAAACGTAACTACATGTCGCAACGCGTAGCGCAAGCTCTGTGATTGGTCGGCTTGGTAGCGCCGACAAGTCTGGGCGGGACCGAGAGCCGCGCGAATGGCGCGAGCCTGATGGAGCGATTGTTTACAAGTGTGGAGTCCCGTGAAGCAGCTCCGGATGGAAAGTTTTGTTCTGTGTTTACCTCATAGTTAAAGTTGTTGCACGTCCGCCGGTTCCTGCCTCAAAATGAGCGAGTTTGAGCCACTTATACATCCAGGAAGTGTTCAGAAAAGCAAAACAGAAGCGAAGAAACTCGACACAGAGGAACATTAACACCTCACTGCCAACTAGCGTTTCGGAAGTGTTAATGCAGACCAGCAGAGACAGCGCGCAGAAGTATAAAAGCACAGCTGCGCGCGTTGCCTGCGCCGTGAGTTACGCCGATCACTTGACGCAGAAGTATAAACCAGGCTTAACACACAATTCTCAAACGATATATTGTTCAGCACTAGGTTTGATGTCTAGAATGGGAGGATTTGTTTGAAGTCTGTGTGAAATCAACATTAGAATTCACTTCACGCATGATTTGCTCACCTGTTGTGTTGGTCTTCTGTTCTAGGCACTGGCTGACCACCTATTTTGTCATCTGGTACGGTGTTCCCTACATGTCATATGACATCTTCGCCATGTACCTCAGCCATTACTATCGCTTCAAGGTCAAAGGTCACAAAGACTACAAGCACCACTCTCTGCGAACCATCAACTCATTTGTGTGGAAAGAGTTCCTCCTGGTGCTCCATCACATTGCGCTCCTCACCATCCTGCTGCCTGTGACTCTGGTGAGAGACTGAACACAAACACAGAGATGAGTGATATGACAGCCAGTGATAAGAGGGCAAATACAGTAATGGGCCTTCTCGGATAACCACCGACACCTATAGCCAGGACCAACTGAGAGGGAATGTAAAAAGAGGGGGATGCAGTGCTTTTGTGTCTGTTAAGTATCTGATCTGTGAGAAACAATTACCTTAATAGCAGCTGTTACACTGACAGAGTGCATACAGTGGGACACACACACACACATTTACTCACAAACACGTATACTCACACACACACATACACGTACATACATACACAGACATATACACACAAATATATAGATACACATACAAACATGCACGTATACACACACACACACACACACACATACATATTACATATATAACAAATATATGACTATACACACACATTCACATAAATACATGTACACACATATATAATACATATACAAGTGTATACACACACACTTACACAAACACTCGCATACACACATATACATGCATATATACACAAACACACACATACACATATGCATGTGTGTACATAAATACATGTACACAAAGATACACATATACACACAAATACATATATAGACACATATACAAACAAACACGCACATACACATACACGTACACAGATACACATGCACACACACATACATGTACACACACACATAATACATAAACAAATGTATACACACAAACACTCACATACATACATATACACACAAACACACACGCACATGCATACATGCATGTACACACATATATATACACACACACATATGCATGTGTGTTTGTTTATACATACATGTACGCACTGATACACGTATACACACAAATACAAATATAGACACACATTTACAAACAAACACGCACATACACGTACACAGATACACATACACACACATACATGTGCACACACATAATACATAAACAAATGTATATACACACACAAACTACACACACAAACACTCACATACATACACACACACACACACACACACACACACACACACACACACACACACACACACATACACACACACACACACACACAAAATCATATTAAGTAAAGTACAATATTAAGTAAAGATTATGTTTCTTGAAATATTTTGTACATTTCCTATTGTAAATATATGAAAACGCAGTTTTTGGTTAGTAATAATATAAAATTTCAGCTCATGCCATCAAAAAGATGTTAAAAAGTATGTATATGGTTTTAAATTGAGTTTTTAATGT